AATTCCAAAAGCACAAAAATGCAGCAAACCTCTAACATCACATGATTTGGACCTGTTGACAAAGAAAGTAGTAATTATTAGTTCAGGACTGACTTTTATCAAACTTGGGAAAGAAAAAGAAAAAAAAACCCAATCCAATTGCGGAGTGCAACCAAGTTCCAAAGCTACCCAAAAATTTTGAACTTAGAGGGATGATTGCATGTAAAAATAGAGGTCTGGGTCTATTTATAAAGCCACCTGGATAAAAGATTACTAATACGTGCAGAAAAACAAAGGGTGAATGCTTGAGCTTACGTTCTGAAGGAATAATCAATCCATTAAGTTGCCGGCTTAAACCCACAGCAAAATCACACATGTCAATGATTTCCTACAAATATTAGCTCAGAAGAATGAGTCTATAATCTAGATCAAAGAAATAGCAGAATCACATCCATTCATTATGGTTTGTTTACAAGAATCGCTCTATTTTCTACATGAAATGAAATAGCAGTACCAAAACCAGTCCAGATAAAAGATTAAAAAAAATTGGAGCTGGTTTTATACACATTACATTAGCACTAACATAACATGTCTACAAGAATGATAAATCTGATTAGGACTAATGCACACTATCTGTTATTATGTTAGTCAACAGCTCAACAATTCATCAAAGCAGGTAAATTCTAGCACTGCATCCTGTAAAAAACAGGAAATTTAATCTATTCTACCACAATTTAGAATGAGATGACATACTTGAACTTCTCCAATTCCTTCTGCAAGAATTTTTCCCATCTCAAGTGAGAGAAGACGGCCAAGTTGGTGGAGTTTTTCTCTCAACGCATCACCTATCTGTCTAACAATCTCCCCTCTCTTTGGGGCAGTGACCTGCAATCGCAGATAAACCAACCCGATGCCAAAAAAGGGTCATTTTCTGGCAATTCTACAGATTTAATGCACATTTACAGGAAAATGAATTCTAAGACTCAAAAAATCAGACAGCTCAAAAAATATTTGAATTTTCTATCATGACAAATTATGATCTTACGGTCATCCATATCTTTGCTGCTTCACTGCATGCTTTCATTCCTTCCTCATAATCATCAATTGAAGCCTCCGTAACATTAGCAATTGTCTGAATCAACAACATTAACATATTATAAACTCAACAATGAATTTGAGCTAGGTAACAAAGCCTAAAAGCATCAATCAGATAGTTCTTAATTTTTGCCTTTGACCATTGTGCATAGATCCTTCAAATATCTTTGCAAACCACAATTTGGATAGGCAGACACGTCCCAGGGACAAAAGAAAATTTGGTAATAGAAAACTGATACTATCTCTTGGAACTGAGTACAAAGAAATAGTGATTCGGTTTGTTAATTTAAAGTATGGGAATTGACAATGTTTTTTTGTTCACTTGTGCTTGTTTTTGACAAATCAATAAACAATTCTCCTTTAGTATAAAAAATTGCAACTTCCCACTGAAAAATTGAAAAGATCCCATTTTGAAACTAATTTTCTAATTTCAAAAGGAAGACTATAAGGTACCATCAGTCAAATTAGGTGAACACAACAGCAACTGTTCCATCAAGATATAATCCATGATCATTAAAATAAAACAATTAAACAGTGTACAAACACAAATATATAGAGAGAGTTTAATGAATAATTATATAACCTGATTGTTAACAGGATTTACTGAGGAGACCACAGGACCATGTGCCTTCCACGTGCCACCCACAAAACACCCCAGATTCTCAGAGCTTAATCCGATCTCACTCAGAAACTCATACTCTTTCTTAGCAAAACCCATCTCTGCGAAAAAAAAAAAGTAAATCTCACATTAATACAGGTAAAAAAATAAAAATAAAAAATCTTTAGCATGTATCAGCTCTATATTTACCCAAGAAACTCGAAAAATTCAATACATACAATCAATTCACTTCCTTTCCTGAATTTTCTCAGCTAACAAACAGAACCCATATAACCAAAATGCAAAACCAACCTGAATCTTATATTTCTCACTCAAATAAACAAAAAACACAGCCTTCAAAAGATAAAGAGATCTCATATTAACTCAGATAAATTATAAAAATTTAAGAATTAATATTCAAAACCGTTTTATATTCCCAGAAAAAACAAAAAAGTAACTTTCTTCAAAAATTCTCCCAGCAAACAAGCACAAACCAGATGAACAAAATGCAGATCAATCATGAATCTCATGTTTCCCAGTCAAATAAACACAAAAACTCAGCCTTCAAGATCAAGAACACAAAAAGCTACATACTTGGACTTGGAACTGTGGATTCAGATGATAAGGGTATCTGCAAACAAGGCTAAATTTAAATAACACAAGATGACATGAAAAATGACAAAAAAGTGATGGGTTTGGATTGGTTGAAGAGGAGAGAGATACGTGTAGTGAATGTAAATAGAGATGGATTGGCTCTTAGTTAAGATGATGATGATTTATCCACTTCCAAATATTATCGGATCGTGACACAGTACATGTGATGGCTTACGTGTCACTTGGATTTATTCTACTTTATGCGAATGATAAGGCACGCGTGTCCAAAAGTGATGTCTTTTCGCCTTTTTATGTCTTTTCGCCTTTTTTAAAGGAGTTAGAAAATATTTTAGTAGAGTTGATTGAAGTATCAAGTTACTCCCTCAAATCTAAAAAATCTAAAAGACTTTTAAAATAGTCCCCATTTATCTCCTTTTCGTGAAAAAACGTTTGAGAAAGACAAAATAAGAGGGTTTTCATCTGTTTATTCTATTCTTAAATGCATTCTTGATGTGTCATAGTTATCTTATTTCCACAGGTGTGTTCATTATCAGGGTTCACGTTTATCTAAGTGAACATTTTAAGCCTGCTACGTAATCAAGATGCTGCAGTGCCAATAATCTAAATATATTTCTCTTACATTTATCATATTTGCCTCTAAAGGAAGTATGATTTCATTTATCATACTTCTTAGATATGTTGAGACAGTAAACCGAGCAGTCTAAAAAGTTTTTAGCTTCTTATTCATAAAAAGGAAAAAAAGAAAAAAGGAAAAGTCAGGCACTTCATGCTGTATATTTGCATAAGGATCTGTGTAATTAATCACTTTCTTTTTAGGTGGAAGAAAGAGCAGCTGCAGAAGCTTTGAGGCGCGAGCCGTAGCTTCAAGAAGCAAAGCAACAGCAGCAAAGGCATAACTTTGTTATACAAAAGAACAGAACNAGGCACTTCATGCTGTATATTTGCATAAGGATCTGTGTAATTAATCCCTTTCTTTTTAGGTGGAAGAAAGAGCAGCTGCAGAAGCTTTGAGGCGCGAGCAGTATAGCTTCAAGAAGCAAAGCAACAGCAGCAAAGGCATAACTTTGTTATACAAAAGAACAGAACTTTACAATCACTTGATGCAAAACAAGTCAAATTCACAGCCCTCTGAAGCTCCCGTAGTGGGAGATGAAAAACCAAAAGACCAAGGAGTAATGTGGACCAATCTTGGTCCGTTATCCCTTTCTCATCGTTGTTACAGCAAAGAGTTTCTTCTTCTCCACACAACGGTCCCGTCACGCAATCTAAATCTTTAAAAAATCCGAAAACAACAAGCCCAAATCAGATCACTGCTGGCGTCAATCCGGACGGCTGACTATGCGTGGCTTTCCGATACAAGCCAAAGCGCTTGGCCGGGGACTTCCACGACAAACCATGTCGTGTAGAGTTTCCTGCTCCAACGTGGTGGCTATATTTCGTTGACAGTTACATATCAAGTGAAGGCGGCGACAGCCTTGGATGGCATGTGGGAACTTGCTTAGTTTCTGCAAATAAAAAGACAGGATTTTGATGGGGACGAGATCAGGATTGTTGGCCAATGAGTTTAGAACATTTGGGTTTGATTCGTTCTTTCGACGATCAGGAGGGTGGCTGCCATAAATTTTGGTGGTCGCTGTTTGTGGCTGCGGCAGAAACCCAAAAATTCGAGATTAAATTTGGAATGAGTTGAACGTGGGAGTGGCTGTTTGAGGGTTGTTTTAGTCTTTTTTCTGATTTATGGGTTTACTTTGACGGATTTTGTTAACAGATACTGTCGGTAGGACGTAATTGTCACTTCTTTAAAATGTTTGGGTACAAAATGTGTCAAACTAGGGATATGTTGTTTTATTGAAAGTATTATTGGTAGGACATAATCTTCCTATCAAACAATTATTGAGTTTATTTTTAATTTATTGTTTATAAATTTTATATTGAACTAGTTGATCATTTTATTAATTTTATGAGTCAAAACTATCAACTTATTTTGCACGACCGAACTAAAACTCAAAAAAAAAAAAAAAAAAAAAAAGAGAGAAATTTGGCCATATTTATCGAGAGAGACCACTTTCTCTCAGGTCAATAATCTTTTACTTCTATTCAATTGTTCTATTCTATTTAAAAAAGAAATAAGAAAATTTGGTCATCTTTCTCGAGAGAATTCACCTTCTCTTAACCAACCGTTTTTTTTCTTCTAATCAATTGCTCTATCTATGACAAACGTTCCTCTTTCTTGGACTTTGCTCGCTCACTAAGCTCTGCACTCATATTTACTTTTGAAAAAATAAATTATATTAATGGATATTAAAGGAATACTATATTTATAGAATTGGAGTATTTATATCTCAATTTTCAAGCTAAAGCTTATATGCAAATTTTATTGCATTAAATTTTAAAAATATTTCTATATTAATTACATTAATCAAATGTTGATTAATCAGGATTGTTAAAGCCAAATTGAATGGTATAATAATTAATAACCTCCAATTTATACTTACTATTTTGTATTATGCTTTTAAAATTAGGAAAAGTAAAAATCAATTAGCTTTCTATTAAGTTTTAATTTTACCATTGGAACCCTATATGTTATCTAACATTCAAAAAAACCCCTACTGCTTTACACGTGTTCATAAGCACAGAAATTGACAGAGACAACCCGAGGAAGTAACCAAGAAACTACTTCAAACAACAAGACAATCAAATCAATACTTGTGATAAACGAAATCCCATATTTTTTTTCAATTTTTTCTTTTTCAGAAAAAATAATTTCTTCGGGCAAAATCTCTCAACTTTATCAATCTTTACCGGTAAGTCATCAAATTTCTTGCCCAGATTCAGCAATACGTAATTGGGTTTTTTTTTTTTGATTGCTTTGTTCTAGTTAGTGTGTAGGGTTTTGTTTTTGTTCAAGAAATGAAACCCTAGGCTAATTTGATTTCTGGGTTTTTTGGGAGATTCATAGGTAAGGATATTGGAAAATGAAGGTGTTAAATGGTTTGTATAGTTCAAGAAACCCCAAGTTTCGTGGGGTTTTAAATGGACTCTGTAGCTTGATTTTGTTTTTCTTATTGTACAACCATGTAGATGTGATGAAAAGCCCAATTTTAAGGCAATCTTCATCGTTTATTGATCATAGTTCGACTCAAAACCCTGTTATGAATAATGGGTTAAGTCAGTTTTTGGTAATTCATCGAAAAACAATAGAAATCAATGACAATTCATCAAGTTTAGCTAATAATTTCACTGTGGGCGATCCTGCTTTGTGTACTGGATTGAGTGATCATAAGGGTTTTGCTAACAAGTGTGAGTTCTTGAAAGCGAACCCGGAATGTTCATCAGGGGGTTTCTTTAATTACGTTAAGTTCTTGTATTGTGGTTGTGGAGGATTTACGCTTTTCGGTTATGCAGTATTGCTTATTTGGTTGGCTGCATTGTTTTATCTGTTGGGTAACACTGCTGCGGATTATTTTTGTTGTTCTTTGGAGAAGCTTTCAAGTCTGTTGAAGTTGCCTCCGACTGTTGCTGGAGTTACGCTCCTTCCTCTTGGCAATGGAGCGCCGGATGTGTTTGCGAGCATAGCTGCATTTATGGGGACAAACACTGGTGAAGTTGGACTTAATAGTGTGTTGGGTGGCGCAGTGTTTGTTACTTCTATTGTTGTTGGGACTGTTTCACTGTGTGTCGCGGAGAAGGGAGTTCAGATTGATAGGAAATGTTTTATTAGGGATGTTGGTTTCTTTCTCTTTACACTTGTGTGCTTGTTGATGATTTTAGTTTTTGGGAAAGTGAGTGTTGGGGTGGCTCTTTCATTTGTGTCAATCTATGTGGTTTATGCATTTTTAGTGGCTGCAAATGAGATTTTTAGGAAACATGCACAACGGTTGAAATTGGATGTTGTTACTCCCCTGCTCCCTGTCAGAGGAAGTGTATTTTCTCAAGGAAGTGAAGAGGATGTTTCAGTGTATAGTTCTTTGCTTGACCTCGATACAGAAGATGATCCACCACGACTCCACCCTTCCTTACCTCAATGGATGTGGGCTTCAAATGTGGCAATATATTCAAACCATTTAATGAAAGCCAGTGAGTTTGATCATGAAAGACCATGGGGCTGGACTGATGAGGCAACTCAAAATAACAATTCATCTTGTTCAAGGTCTAAAATAATTTCACTCTTGGAGTTGCCATTGACAGTGCCAAGACGTCTAACAATTCCATCAGTTGAGGAGGAAATGTGGTCAAAGCCATATGCTGTTGCCAGTGCTTTATTGGCACCAATTCTCCTGGCATTTCTGTGGAGTAGCGGAGACAATTTAAGTTCTCAAAGCATATGGGTTGCATATTTTATTGGTGTTGCGGTGGGTTGCTCACTTGGTGCTCTTGCTTATCGTTTCACTGTATCTGATCATCCACCTCAGAATTACTTAATTCTCTGGGTTTTAGGTGGATTTCTTATGAGTATTGTATGGTTTTACATGATTGCTAATGAGCTTGTTGCTTTGCTGGTAGCATTTGGTATAATCTTCGGAATCAATCCCTCCATCCTTGGTTTAACTGTCTTGGCATGGGGTAACTCTATGGGCGATTTGGAGTCAAATGTTGCGTTGGCGAGGAACGGTGGGGATGGTGTACAGATTGCTTTGTCTGGATGCTATGCAGGTCCCATGTTCAACACACTTGTTGGTTTGGGTTTGTCATTGCTGCTCGGAGCCTGGTCAAACAGACCAGCTTCATATGTGATTCCCCAGGACCAGAGCTTGTTTTACACAATGGGATTTCTCGTATCAGGACTAATCTGGGCACTTGTAGTATTACCTCGGAATGACATGCGCCCAAGTAAATTGCTGGGAGCAGGCCTTATTACGCTCTATCTGATATTTCTTTCTCTCAGGTTACTCGGCGCTATGGGATTAATACCAATGGGTAGTTTATATTGACCTTCTCTTTTGATCAACTAAATAGACATGGAGAATGTAAGATGTGAGAGAAGAGTCTCAAAATTGATTTCCTGATTAGTTTGCATTCCTCACAAAGCAATGATGTTTTATTAGCAAAAAAAGATATAGTTGTAATTGTAGGCATATACTGTATATGTACATTGTAATAAATCCTAATCTAGTGATTTCAGGATTGTGGATATGTTACTTCGGATATTAAGGCAAGACGAGGCTCATTTTTGTGCTTGTTTGATCAATCTCAGATACATTTATTCTTGAAGTTTTGTTTTCTTTATTGCATTGTGAACAGATTTGTCATTTCTCCTCAAGGCTAAATTCTAATATTTTTATGACAACTACAAACAATAATCTCCCCGTCAACATGTCAGTTTGCATAGAAAATAAGGTAGGTTAGATGGTTTAGCTTAGACTATAAGGCACACCATATAATAAGTGCTAAAAATAGTTGGGCAGAAAAATTTGAGCAGAGAAGAGCAGCTGAGCATTGAACAAAACCAGGGGGATTTGGGCCACCAGTAAAGGCCTGGCAGCATGAGATGGTAAAGCAGGGCAATAAATATTTGAGAAACGGAAGTTCAACAAGGCCACTGCCACCGCCAACACCAAGTATCTTTATTTAAACAAGTAGGTCCTAAAATAGACAAGATAAATAATACAAATTTTAGATGCTTGAGTATTTCAAGGATCAAAGAGTAGACATTTCTGACTCCTTTAGAACATGATTTTATACATTTTTTTTTTTTTAAATCTTAAACCTTTTTTCTTCAAATTTTTTTTTCCTTTATAATCTTTGTAAGTGACTAAGTGATTGTGAATGGAAAAAAAAAAGAGGAAACAAAAACAACAAAAGAATCCTAGCTGGTTCCTATGCGAAGTCCACAGGGACCAAGAAGTGTGTGTGTGAGAGGGACCAAAACCAGAAGCATTAACTGAGAAGTTGAAAAGAGTAAAATATTTTTTGTGTCTTACACAACTCAGTCACGTGTGTTCTCTGCAATGTTGCAGAAGTATTCGTCCTTTTTAAGCTTCTGCCAACCCTCACAAACTAACAACGTTTCACTTCTCTCACAAACTCAACTTTCAACAACAACCCTTTTTTTAGTATGTTCTTTATTACTTGCTCTCTCTTCCACGTCCACATTGCTTCCATTCATTCATTTCTTCTTTTCACACTCACCCTTTTCCAATTTCACGTACAACACAACACTCTCTTGACTTCACTTAGTAGCCAGTCTTTGCATGAACTCTTATTTGTGGAGAGACAAACAAGGAAGATTGGTTTTTTTATTTTATTTTAAGTTTTAGTTTTAGTGATGGATTTTGCAGGTGGGTCTACATTGGAGGAGCCACCAAAGAGTCCAAGGTCTCCACCTGCTTGTGTGGATTTGTATGGCAAGAGGAGACAGATGGTCAAGGTTCAAGTTTTGGAGAGAGAGATTGGTCAGCTTCAGGTCAGTTTTTGTGTTTTGTTTTTTAGTAGTGATTTTAATATTTATTCTTTTGGTGGGTTATTAATGTTTAGAATGAAAAGGGTTTGATTGACATTGTTGATTTTGGATCTTTTTTTTTAATCTATGTGCAATGTTGATGACTTAGCCCATAGTAGTATTTCTTAGTTTGATTGCTTGAATAATCTTGATTTAAGCCAAAATCTTTGATCCTTTTCCCCAAATTATGTGTAATTTGTAGAGTAAATGATTCCTGAACTGAATTAGTGATTGTGTTTCTAGCCTTAGATTTACATGGCACATTGAATTAGTGATTCTTATTACTACCTCTATTATACATAATTTTGTTTTAATTTTACTAGTAGGCATATTTTGATTATTAGCTAAAATCTAGTGGCAAATGCACATATCCTTGAATGTTCTGCTTGGTGAAGTCCCCTGCTATTTTGAATGATAGATTGAAGTCTCTGTATATGCAATGTGTGTGTACCGTATTTTTATGAAGCTAAACTGTATGATAGAAGTAAATGTAAAATAGGTGTATACTTATAGATTTTTGTTCAAGCAGGAGGAGTTGAAAACTGTTGAAGATCTTCAGCTAGCTTCAAGATGCTGCAAAGAGTATGTATGGTTGATTTACTGTCTTATGCATAATATACTCAGTGAAATCATCGTAATGTTGTTTATTGTATCAGTCTTTATCCCATTTGATCTTTAACTTCTCATTGGCAGGGTTGATGAGTTTGTAAGGGCTAAAGTGGATCCTTTAATCACTATGTATGGCCCTTGAAGATAACCCTTTTTCTGTTTTGTTTGATATGAATTCCGATGTAAAATTTACTTCACTAACACTGGATGATTATTTTTTTCTTAAATCAGAAATCAGGAGACGTGTAAATCCAAGCCCTTCTGGAAGAGAATCTGGTACTTCATCTCTCGCTTATTTTGTTTGGTTTTACATGCTCCTGGTTTAAGCTCTAATCACCCTTGCATTTACACCAAAACTTTAGTTTAAAGGACATTTTTCTAGCAAAATACATCCTGTGACATTGCAAGAACAGTTCATAGTCATTGTGGACAAATTCTCGAGTCTTAGTTCAGAGAAGAAAGTGTCCTTGAGCCTTGAGTTAAAGTAGGTTTGCCTCATATAATTCCAATGTGTGCTTGATATTTTAGCATTGGAGTGAATATTCTCAACCCGGGCTGCTCTGGCACAACCTCGGTTGGACAATATGTGACTAAATTCAGCAAAATGCATGCAGCTTCATTTTGATCACTGCCTGTTTCACTTGTAAAAATTTACTTATATAATTATGTCTTTTTATGATATGATGCTTTGTAAACTGTTACATTTTATACAAATTTCCACTGTCAGTATTAAATTGAGTACACTAGAATAATGAAGAATATGTGAAATTGATGGGATGCACTAATTCTGAGCAGGGGAAAATTATACTCCAATCTTCTGTGGATTTGCTGCTGTTGTGGTTGCCTGCATCATCTACAAACACAAACCTGCTGCGGTACGTGCTCTGTGTCATGTTGCTCACCATGTCCATGTCCCAGCTGCTGCTGCTGCTGCTCCAGGAAAGTCACGTGTCAAAGCTGCTGCAATTTTACAGGACTCTCATGTCTACACAGTGCTTGCTGCTGTTTCAAGTCGTCAACTTATAAGTGTAAAAAGGTGAATCTTTGATCTAATTTTGCAAAATCCTGTCATAAAACTTGCTGTCTATAGTTACCCAAGAAACTTATACCTTTCAGGCCTTTTCAACTTCTTATATAATTAAATTGTAATTAGCACCAATGTTGCTAATAGCTAGATCCTAGTCCTTTGTGACAAAATTTCAATAAAACAACTTGACCAAGGTAGTGAAGACTTTCTGCTTTTTCGTTCATGAATTGTATCCATAGCTGTAATGAAACTTAGTCTTTCTTAGCAAGGTTACAGTGAAATGTGGCTTATAGATTGCATCTGTAAGATATTTTCTGGCTGTAATGTTGCAGCCATGAGACTGTTTGGCAGGAAGGAAAAAGGGTAGGAAAATTTAGATGGTCTTTTGCTTCTACACTTCTAAACTTCGTTAAAAAGCGTTTCCAAAAACATTTCAATCAAACGTGTTTTGTAAAGATGATCTCTCAGAAGGTTTTTGTTTTTGGAAACGTTTCAATCTATATCTTTTGCTTTCCAAAACAGAAAACTTGTATCTGGATTGCAGGTCAAATGTAGGTTATTAAGTTATTATTATACATGGAAAAGAGATCCAATAATTGAATATTATAACATGGCTTGACAACAGTTCTTATCTTTTGATGATTATTATATCATTTAGATATCCTTAAGATGTAATTAAGCAGTATGATAATACCCCCTCTGCCTTTATTGAAAAAAATTCACATCTAGATCCTACATTTTAACCCATCCCCATCCGTGGATAGTTCAGATGGTGAGGATGAATTAGGGATAATATAAATAAGTGTACGATCTAAGGTTCGATTTCTCATCTAAGCATCTGCGATTTAAGTAAGAAGTCGTGGTGCGGTGAAAAAAAAGGGGGTCATGAGGGTTTCATGCGATATAGTTAGTTTCGAGTGAATGAAACCTATCATTTTAAGGATAGTGTTCTTCAACTAAAGATATATAATGAAGAATTTATACTTTTCATGAGTTCGAGATTAAACTTCATATAGTAAACTTCATTAATATAAACTCGTCGTTAAGTCTTCAATAAGACGAGGGTACCGTATTATTTACACGCTTTACATATATGAAGTGCACATTTTATAGATCAAATGGGCCAGAAAAGTTTTGAAAAGGGCGTGTTTTAATCCGGCTGGTTGGCATGAAAAAGATGTATGGAAACTCTTCTAAAAGCTTGTAATATAATACGAAATCAGAATCACTATAGCCTAATAATTAACCCTCGTTTGAATCATCAAATAATGATTTAAGAGTTTGTATAAAAAAAAAGAGTAATATTTTCCGTACCTTAATTACTGATCACGTAAGCCAACAAAGCATACTGTAATGTAGTTTTTTTTTTTTTTTTTTTTTTTGTAATATCATAATCTAATCTAAGGATTCATGTTAAGGTTCTATGAAACCCACTTTATCATAATATTAAAGTCATATTTGTTTAGCTTGGACCTTGACCTTGGACGAGTGTGAGAAAATATTTTAAAAGTTGTATTTATCTCACATCGTTAAATTTGTGGATTGTTATGGTGTATATTAATATATGTGGTTGTACTTCATTTTCTTTTGAGTTAGCTTTTGAAAATGAATTCTACTCATTTATTGTTTAGTCAATAACTTTTCAATTGAAAATGTGAATAACATGATTTTAAACAATATCCTCATCTAAAATCAACTTTTATTTAGAAAATTTGGACGTAGGACCTTTTAGAAGTCTAAAATTATCAAAGCGTCACACGCCACTTGATTGGGTGCATCCAACACCATGGACCCTAATCTCAAACCTCTATTGACATCAATAAAACTATATCATTTCAACTTATCAATAATGTTTTGTTTACAACTGAAAATTACAAAAAATTAATATAAAATAACTACCCTAACCTTTGTTTTTTGTCTGCTTATATGATTCAATTATAAGCATAACATTACTCTGGAACTCATATACGTTCGTTCTCGTATCTGGTCTGCTTATAGAAAACCATCTCTGACATCAAAAAACTATAACATGCAAAGCTACACAGAGTAATTGTAATATCACCCATCTCGCAGTGCTAGTGAGAATAACTTCTTCATAGCTAGTATAACAACCAACAGAATACCCTTCTGCACGTAAGATATTTAAGAGAAAATGCAGCTGTTGATCCTTTTTCCCTTGGTCCCAGCAATATGATATGAACAGCCTATATATACTGTTCTCATCTGAAATTAAACTTTAAAAATGGAGCAACAAAGAAAAGCACTAACTTTGAACCCAGAGAGGGGATCCCCAAGTCTCTCCTTGAGGCACCTCATTCCACCCAAAAATTAAATTAAACATTTTGACACTTAAAAATTAATCAATTAATCAACTATGGGACAAATAATTAAGTAGATAAATGACTAATAAAAAAATAATTAGTCCTTTTTAGAATTGTAACATTCACAGTACTCCATAGAATAAAAGTTAGAGCATGGCTACATATATGTTTTATGCTTAACTTGCAACCATCACGAGGGAATAAGCACACATGAAGCAAAGATAATATTATTCTTTGAGTAAACTTTCTTCTAACACCAAATTGATCTTTATACATTATCTCAAGTTCAACCCTTTAATTGCATCATATTCTTGCTTGCAGAAGCAGAATCCATAATTTTTATGATGCAAAACAGCTTGTTTTAGTTACATTTATACCTTAACCAGAATCTAAGTAAACTGTTGTTCGACCCGTGCAGCAAGTAAAGAATTGTTTTCTTTGTTCCATATTGCACTATATTTATTGATTGTGGCATAGCATTGTCTACACACAACACAAAATATTAGTTTCTCATCTTTCTTCAATTATATACTATCTTTTAGTATGGCTGAAGCACTTGTTTCTGTTGTCTTGGAGCAGTTGGCTTCATTCGCTCGTCAACAGATTGATGGACAGTTGACGCTGGTGGCGGGTGTTGATGACCAAGTCCGAAAGCTCACCAGCCATTTCCAGGCCATTCGAGCTGTCCTTGAAGATGCAGAGAGCAGACAATTCAAGGATAGTGGTGTGAGGGATTGGCTGGATAAGCTTAAAGAGGCATCTTATGATATAGATGATGTGTTGGATGAGTGGAACACTTCTATTGGGAAATTACAACTTAAGGAAGTTAGAAATGCCTCCAAGCCTATGATAAAAAAGGTATGTTCCCTCATCCCCTGTTATAGCTTTTGTTTTAGAAAAGTTATCTTGCCTTGTGCCATTGCTCGCAAGATAAAAGATCTGAATAAAACGATAGATGTTATTGCTGTAGAAAAAAATATGTTTGGTTTTAGTTTGAAAGAGGGCAACGTAGAAGTAAGACGACCAACGACTACATCTCTTATAGATGTGCCAATGGTCCATGGGAGAGGTACTGATAGGGATGAATTATTAAACAAGTTGTTGAATAAGAGTAGTCATGAACCAGCCATTTCTATCATTTCTATTGTAGGGATGGGAGGAATAGGTAAGACTACTCTTGCTCAATTAGTTTTTAATGATAATAAAGTAAAAGTCCATTTTGATGAAAGGATATGGGTGTGTGTCTCGGAACCTTTCGATGAGACAAGGATTGCAAAAGCAATCCTCGAATCTCTAGTAAAAAATCCTTTAGAAAGGGCATTAGTTGAATTAGAAAATATTTTGCAAAAAATTAGTCAATCTCTTGAGGGAAAGAAGTTTTTTCTCGTCCTAGATGATGTATGGACTGAGGATCCCAAAGATTGGGAACAATTGATGATTGCTTTGAAATGTGGTTCTCAAGGAAGTAGAATTCTAATTACCACACGTAAGCAAAATGTTGCCGAAACTATAGGAACCACCAACATAATCGTGTTAGGGACATTATCAAAAGATGAGTCTTGGTCGTTATTTAGTCAAATTGCATTTCCAGGTGAAGCCAATAAAAAATTAGAAGATATTGGTAGAAAAATTGTAGCCAAATGCAAGGGCTTACCTCTTGCTATAAAAACCTTAGGAAGCCTCTTGCGTTTCAAAACAAATATTGGAGAGTGGCAAAGTGTTCTAGACAGTGAAATGTGGGAAATAGAAGAGGTAGAAAGAGGGATTTTTCCACCTTTACTATTAAGCTATTATGATTTGTCTTCTACATTGAAAAAATGCTTCTCATATTGTGCTATCTTTCCAAAAGATTATGAGATAGAAAAAGATGAATTAATTAAATTATGGATGGCTCAAATTTATCTTAGGGATGAGCGAAACAAGGACATGGAATTAATTGGTGAGGAATACTTTGAAAGTTTAGCAGTACGCTCTTTTTTTCAAGATTTTAAGAAAAATAAATATGATGGAAGCATAGAAAGATATAAGATGCATGATATAGTGCATGATTTTGCTCAATTTCTTACCAAAAATGAATGTTTTAGTATAGAGATAGAGATTGAGAAGTATAGTGAGTCTCAATTAAAGTCTTCATTAAAAAATGTTCGACACTCAATGGTAACACTTAGAGAAGAAAAATACCTTTTTCCTATAGAAGGAGAAGGAGCCTCGTTTTCTCTATGCATTTATAATGAAAATAAATTGCGTAGTCTTTTGGTTAAGCGTAAATATAAGCCAAACAAGTTGATTCTGTCCAAATTATTTGATAACTTAAGTCTACGAGCATTACAGTTTTGCTTCACTGATATTCAAGAAATCCCTAGAGAAATAAAAAAGATGATACATCTTAGATATCTTAATTTATCTTATAATGACAATTTAAAAAAATTGTCAAAGGAATTATGTGATTTATATAATCTACAAACGTTAAACCTTAACAATTGTGGAAGTCTAAGAAAATTACCTCAAGAGATGGGAAAGTTAATCAACTTGAGGCATTTGATAATTAATTATACTAGGATAGAATACATGCCAAAAGGAATTGAAGGATTAACTTGTCTTCGAACTTTGGAACATTTTGTACGGAGTAGTAGTAGCCATGGTGGTAAAGCATGTAGTATTGAAAGTTTGAAAAACTTGAGAAATCTTCGGTGTCTTGGTATTTCGAGGTTAGAAAATGTGGTAGATGTGGGTGAAGTTAAGAGATCAAACCTTAGGAATAAGACAAACCTCCTCTCTTTACTTTTAAATTTTGCAATTAGATATGATCACCGACTTAAAACGGATGAGAGAGATGAAATGGTTCTTGAGGCCTTTGAACCACCTCCAAATTTAGTGAAATTATTTTTAGGGAATTATGGAGGTAAAACTATATGGCCGAATTGGATGGTATCATTAACTCAATTGAGGGAGTTAAGACTTTTTAATTGTTACAAGTGTGAGTATTTGCCTCCTTTAGGAAAATTATCATCTCTTGAATCACTCTCTATAAGAGTTAAGAGTGTAAAAAAAGCGGGTACCGAATTTTTGGGAACAGAAAATGATGGTACTTGCAGATCTTTTATTGCCTTTCCCAAATTAAAAAATCTTGAGTTTTATTGGATGAATGAATGGGAAGAGTGGGATGATAATTCTTTGAGAGGAGATGAATTAGTTATTACAATCATGCCATCTCTTTGTTACTTGAAAATTTCTTATACCAATAAATTAAAAAGGCTGCCCAATTACATTCTTCAATCACCAACACTAAAACAATTGGAGATCGAGTACTGCAATATTCTATGTCAGCGTTACAAGAAGGAGACAGGTGAAGATTGGCACAAGATCTCTCACATTCCTGACGTCACCATCTTCACTAGTAACGTCACATTCCTGGCACAAGACGAAGACGAGGAAAGTGACGAAGACAGGTAATTTCTTCTCCATTTTAAAGTTCGTCGTTATCTACAATTAAAACCAAACTTTTTGTCATGATGTATGATGATGTTTTGTTAATTGTCAATGAAATCATATTCATGTTTGATGCTTCAACTATTTTCTAATGTTTGTTGTGCTCTATTTTATTGACTTTATAATATAAATACCAAAAATATATATTGACTTTATTCTAAATTTTGGGTTGGTCATAGTCCCTCTATAGATTACACTCTTCAATCGCCAACATGAAAACAATTCTACGTCCGCATTACAAGAAGGAGAGAGGTGAAGACTGGCTTGTTGAAATATGATTACAAGAGCTACAATCGCCATCCACTCACTGTCGCTGGTAATTTCTTCTCTCTTTCTCTCTCTTTGTATATATGCTCATTAACTCACCTTTACAGTTTTTTCTATTACATTTAGTTTATATTGCGAATATTGAATTACTATGCATTAGTTCTGATTTTAGTTACCAGGTTTATGCAGGGAAGGTGTTTGAAAGAAGAAATGGATGAACCAAGGCTTGCGTTTCAGGGGACCTTATGGATATTGCATTCTAGCTTTCGCTCAGAATGACTTTTTAAAATGATTGATGAAAAGAGCAATGGACAGACTGGATGATGGCTTATGTGGGAAAGTTTTTCCTGTGAATGTTTTGGATGAATTTGTGTTATTCTTTGTTGTTATAAGGTGGCATTTTCCTTATACGGCTTTCAATGCTTTGGCCATTATTTCACAACCAAAGGTATTAATCTTCACCAACTATTGCTTTGTATTGTATAATGTAGGAGTTGATTTTTTAAGTGTTGGTTAAGCCATGCTCATCTCTTAAATAAACATAGGATACCCTGTTGTAGGCCTTAATTGAATCCTCATGTCTGTTGGGCTACTATAAACGCTATCAAACATTTCTCCAAGCATCTGAGAGATATATTTCTTGTCAGTATCGTCAACAAGTGCTGGTTGTGTTGCCAATAACTATGAATGATTCCACTTGGTAGTCTCGTATTTAGTTTTGCAATTTTTCGTTCATTAACCAATATTAATTTTGCATTTCCTGTTGTAGGTTTTCTTTTTCAAGACACAAGTAAGAAACACCAGACGCAAACGCTCATTATGGACGCAAACACCTCCTGTCTTTAGTTTTAGATTTTGGAATTGAAAGGGTTGGGAGTGAGAGAGATGAAATGGTTGTTGAGGCCCTTGAACCACCTCCAAATTTAGAGAAATTATGGATAAAGAATTGTGGAGGTAAAGCTATAAGGCTAAATTGGATAGCATCATTAACTCAGTTGAGGGAGTTAACACTTATTCACAACCAAAGGTAATAAACTTCACCAATTATTGCTTTATATTATATACTGTGGGAATTGATTTTGTATGTGTTGGCCAAGTCTCTCTCGTCTCTTAATGTTGTAGGCTCTTAAATAAACATACGATGTCCTGTAGCGCAGTAGGTTTTCATTGAATCCTCATATGTGTTTGCTGAGGACAACAAGAAGAGTATGTTTATTGAGGAGAAAACAAGGCATCTTGGGATTAAATTTGTTCTATTTTTTTGTCAAGTGGGACAGACGGAATGCTGGAGAAACAATATTTCCTATGCGCTGAAGGGTGTGTAGAATTGAGGAGGCCTAATGTGGGGAAGTTACTATGGTGAATTATTGGATTGGTCAGTGTTATTCTTGGTATCGGTCTGCGACTTTCACTGCTTTGACCATGATTTCACGCCCAAATGGTAGTTAAACTGCACCCAGTAATTATACATTTTGGAGTTGATTTATTAAGTTTTGGCTAATCTTTCTCATCTCTTAATGTTGCAACCTCCTCTACAGTGCAAATTTGATGTCATGCTGTGGACGTTTTTATTAAGGTTATTGATGCATGAATCCTGACGTGTTTTGAGCTTCTATATATGCAATGAAGGAGTTTTCTCAAGCATCTTAGCCATTGAAATTCATGTCAGTATTCTCAACAAGTTCTGGCTACATAAACAATTGCTATGAATGATTCCAGTATGTGTTTAGTTATTTGTTTTGGAAGTTTGTGCTCATGGACTCACACAATTAATTCTGAATTTCAAGTGTTGATCGAACCATCGAGCTTACCAAAAAGAAAATTACACAATCTTGTCAAAGTAATGAGGTTCATTTTGTATTTTACATCTACACATGCTAACTCATGTTAAGTTATTTGGTTTATCTTTTGGTTTTATTGAGTAAAGAGGGAATCAAATTCCATCTAAAGAACATGTTTCATGGAGGACTGTAAAGACTTATTGTCGACTTATGAACTTTGTGTATGTGTTTGTACTTGCTGTAATATCCTGTGAATGTGCACACATATTCTTTGTTTTCTTTGACTGTGATTGAACAAAATATGTGGGCACATTTCTCTTATGTGCAAGCATTTCGTTTCCCGTACAAGTGGCACTTTTCTTTCTTGATTATCAAGTTTTATTTTTATGTATGATATTTGCATTGCTTTGTCCTTTACAAGTGTCACTCTTTCAAAAGAGTGATCCAAGGCTCCTTATTGAAAAGTGGCTTGTATGGTGGAGATGAAAAAGTGCAAGGATATAATTGATCATCTTCTTCCTTGCATTTCTTTTAGACCTAATATATTGTTCTTCCATTGAAGCTTTGAATTTTTTAAGGTTAATTTTGATTAGGTTCTATTTGTTTGTGATTTATCTTTATCAATCACTTTGTTGATTTTTGAGTGTAGGAACTTGGTTCCTTCGTTTATGAGCTTAAAGGGAGTTAAGCCAAGGAGTTGAAAGGAAGCTTCAACCATTGAAGCTTGAGGGGAGCTCAAGCTGTCCAGGAGGATTCTTGGAGGAAGTTGATCGTGACAGGACCTTAAAGAAATCAAAGGGTGAAGTTTAGTGTGTCGTAGAACAGGGAGTTTTATTTTGTTGTATCTAAATTCAACTCTGAATTGTCTTGTAATGGTTTGTATTATATTGGATTAGCTTCGATCTGGACCAGGTCCCATGGATGTAGGCTAAAAGTATTTTTAGCCGAACCATGTATCTTCTTGTGTGCTTTATGTTTATGCTCTTGGTTGATCGATATTGTTATTGTTTTATGATCATCAAACAAATTAGTGTAACAACCATCCATAACCATTCCAATGTGCTTCATAAAGAGTTGACAAACTCTCTTCAAGGGCCAAATTGTCAAAAACTCATGGTTACCCCGAAATTTAAGGTGTATGAACAAAGGTTTATTTCTGCAAAATATGGTTTGCATGCTTGATTGAATTATGGCTTGTACAGGTTTTCTAGCTGTTGCATTCAACACTTTGGGCCTGTTTGTTCTACTTTTTTCTCGTATCGTACTCAAAATACATGTTTGTTTTCCTATTCTCAAAATTCAATTTTAAATTATTCAGCTATTTTTAAACCCCTTTGGTTTGTTAATTTAACTAAACACCTCCAACAAAAAAAGTTTATAAATTGATAAAAACACCCCCACCCACACACATTTGCAGATTCAGATCACCACTGCCAGAAGTGATCGGAATCCGTCGTAATAGCACACGATCTGTTGGATCTGGTTGCTCGTGCGTCGATATGGCCTTTTCAAGCCAGATCTACCATGGATCTGGCCAAAAAAGGCTAGATCGACATACTACCAGTCAAATCTAGCCGGTAGTGCGCCATTATGACAAATTTTGGCTACCTTCCGACAGTGGTGGCCGGAATCTGCAAAAGTGGGTGAGTGGAGATGCTTTTGTCAGTTTCTAAACTTTTTATTATAAGGGGGGTTTAGCAAAATTAACAAACCTAAGAGGTGTTTTTGTTAATTTTCAAATCCTACCTCGTAATATCAATCCAACTTAAAATAATAAAACAAACACCACCTTTGATATCTTCAATCTTCTTGCTTCTTGGAGAGTCTTTGGCTCCAGTATTCTAGAGGTTTTACATCAAATAATTGTAATAGACATGTTTTAAGTGAAGGTTTCGTTTGGTATAGTTTCGAGTGAACGAAATCTATCATTTTAAGGATGGTGCACATCAACTAAAGATATATAACGAAGAATTCCGGGAACGAGATTAACTTCACCTAAATAAAATATAAGATTGTGATTAATGGTTAGAAAAAAATAAAGATTGAATTTCTTGTTTTCATAGTTTTTATTATAATCATCAATAAAGGCAAAGCTATATTCAATCCATGGCTATCCTAAACCCACAAAATTTTTCAAAAATTAGGTGAAAATTTATCAATTTCATAGGATGAAATTCAGTTTTCTCCATTTTGGCCCGATTATTCATTTAACATACATTTCGACTATCCTAGAATAAATTTCCTAGCTCTGTCTCTGCCATCACTATAAACTCATCGTTAGGTCTTAAATAGGACGAGATTATTTACACGTTTCATATATGAAGTGGACATTTTATATATCAAATGGACAAGAAAAGTTATGAAATGGGCCTCTTAAGATGTGGCTGGTTGGCATGAAAAAAGATGGATGGAAATTCTTCCTCTAAAAGCTTGTAATATAATATGAAATCAGAATCACCATAGCCCTTTTGGTCTGTCGTTTTGCCTATAAATAATGACTAAATTAATGTATCCATGACGCAACTACGCTTATCCTTTCATGGACCACATGCATCCTACCAATCTTCCCTATCAAAATATCAACAACAGCAAGAGCCTCTTGGCATTAACCCATTTCTTCAAAATGAATGGTTTCTATAGTAGCAATAATTACCGCTCATCTGAATCATCGGATCATGATTTAAGAGTTTGTATTAAAAAAAAAAAAAAAAAAAAAAGAGTAATATTTTCCGTTCCTTTATTACTGATCACATAAACCAACGGAGCGCTTATATATATAAGAGTAATACTACGGTCATCGACGATAATACATCGAATTTGTGCACTGAATGACGTGACAAAATCTTGACCGTTTATTAATATTTAGTTAAAATTAATAAACAATCAAGATTTTGTTACGTCATTCGGTATATAAATTCGGTGCACTACCGTTGGTGGCTGTATTATTTTCCATATATATAAAGCCTATTTTATCATAATATTAGAGTCATATTTATTTGATTTGAATCCTGACTATGAACGCCAAACATGAGAGAGTGTTCGAAGCTCTGTTTTAAAAATCAGACCGAATAGGCTGGTTCGACTGGGACCCGACAACTTCTTCGGTCCGATTTAGGTCTTAGAGGAGTTTTGTAATATTTCAAAATTATAAGGGTTAATTTATAATTTTATAGGGTGTTTTAGAGATATCTCAAAAGTTTAGGGATTAATTAATAATTTTTTTGGATATTTTTGAAATAAATAAAAATTTTAGGGATTAATTGAACTTTTTTAAGTGAATTTTTGTAATATATTAAAATTTAAAAGATTAATATGTAATTTTTTAAAAATAAAATTATAGCTAACGTTATCGATCCAAACGATTGGATCGATTAACTCGTGACTCGGGTAGCAAAATGAGTTACCCTCTGGTCCAGGTTTTAAAACAATGGTTAGAAGTTGTATTATTATTATTATTATTATTATTTTGGTAAGTAAATATTTATTAGAAAAAGGAGAATTTACGAAAGACCATATAAAAAATAGATACCATTTTTTTACTTTGTGATTACATCATTAAGTTGGTATACTGTTATGGTGTATATATATAGTTGAACTTCCTTTATTGTGAGTTAGTTTTTCAGAGTTAGTTCTACCCAAATCTGTTTATGCTTATGGCTTATGAGTTCTACTCAAATTCGTTTATTAATTACAATAAGGTAGATACCATGTCAGGATCTATCTTTATTTATTTTCAAAGGGAAAATGTGAATAACATGATTTTAGACTATAATTCTCATTTAAAATCAATTTTTATTTAGAAAATTTGGATGTGGGACCTTTTAGAAGCCAAAAAATCTCAAAGGGTCCCACACACACTTGATTGGATAGGTCCACCACCATTGACCCTCTCTCAAAGCCTCACTCATGGGCCGAAAGGAAAGCCCAAATAGTAAAATTAATAATAATATTCCTTCTTTATCAAATTAGTAATTAACTTTGGTTTATCTCTTAATCATATATTATAAGGTTTGCTTTTTTAATTTAATTATTGAAAAAGATTTTCATGAATATCATTAATGACAATAATGGGGTAAAAAACAATTTTATTTATTTATTTTGTTGATTTGATGAGATGGATTTATATGGTCCAATATTCCACCACTATTTTTTCTCTTTTATCTTGAAAACAAAACATTATTAGTATCTCCAATTTCTCAGGAACCAAACAAGAATTCAGAAAACCTCTCATGGCCATCTCCTTCTTCTTCTTCCTCTTCCTCTTTGTCACCCCAACTCTTCTCTCCGCCTCACCTTCATTAGACGATCCACAAAGCTTCATTATCCACGTGGCAGAATCCCACAAGCCATCTCTGTTCTCCTGCCATCACCACTGGTACGCCTCCATCATCGAATCCCTCCCTTCCTCTCCCCACCACTCTTCCAAGCTCCTCTACACATACAGCAAAGCCATCAATGGCTTCTCCGCTCATCTCACCGCATTCCAAGCCGCAAAGCTGAAGGAACATCCTGGAATTCTCTCGGTAACACCTGACGAAATTCGCCAGCTTCATACCACGCGTACACATCACTTTCTTGGATTGTCCGATGACTCCGGGCTCTGGCCGAACTCAAACTACGCGGATGATGTTATAGTTGGAGTTCTGGACACTGGAATATGGCCTGAGCGTGAGAGTTTTTCGGATTTTGGCTTGGCAAAAGTTCCTGGAAGATGGAAAGGAATTTGTGAAACTGCTCCAGACTTTCCTGCTTCGGCTTGTAATGGGAAGATTATTGGAGCAAGAGCTTTTTTTAAGGGGTACGAGGCTTCTCTGGCGAGGCCTATGGATGAAACGAAGGAATCAAAATCAGCAAGAGATACAGAGGGGCATGGAACTCATACCGCTTCAACTGCAGCAGGGGGTTTGGTTTCTAATGCGAGTTTTTATGAGTATGCTTACGGTGAAGCAAGAGGTATGGCTATAAAAGCTCGGATTGCGGCATATAAAATTTGTTGGAAATTTGGTTGTTTTGATTCTGATATACTTGCTGCGATGGACCAAGCTATTGCTGACGGTGTTGATGTGATTTCTTTATCTGTTGGGGCTACCGGTTTTGCTCCTCAGTACGATCATGACTCCATAGCCATTGGCGCATTTGGGGCGGTTCAAAATGGTGTTGTTGTTTCATGCTCAGCTGGGAACTCTGGTCCTGGACCGTACACTGCTGTGAACATTGCGCCTTGGATTTTAACTGTTGGTGCTTCAACGATTGATCGGGAGTTCCCTGCTGATGCAATTCTTGGAGACGGGACGATTCTCGGTGGTGTTTCATTGTACTCTGGTGAGGCTTTACCTGATTATAAGTTGCCTTTGGTTGACGCCGGTGATTGTGGGAACAGGTATTGCTATATAGGAAGTCTACAGCCTTCAAAAATTCAAGGGAAAATTGTTGTTTGTTATAGAGGAGGGAATGCTAGAGTTGAAAAAGGAAGTGCTGTGAAACTTGCTGGTGGATTGGGCATGATTTTGGCTAATACTAATGAAAGTGGTGAAGAATTGATTGCAGATTCACATCTTGTACCAGCCACAATGGTGGGTGAAATTGCAGGCAAAAAGATTAGAGATTATCTCAAATTGAGTCAATTTCCAACAGCTACAATTAAGTTCTATGGCACAGTGATTAGTCCTTCGCCGCCTGCTCCAAAAGTTGCAGCCTTCTCAAGCCGGGGTCCAAACCATTTGACACCAGAGATTCTGAAGCCTGATGTCATTGCTCCAGGTGTCAATATCTTGGCTGCTTGGACTGGTTCCAATGGACCAACTGATCTAGACATTGATCCTAGAAGAGTTGATTTCAACATAATTTCAGGAACCTCTATGTCTTGCCCTCATGTTAGTGGACTGGCTGCGTTGCTCCGCAAGGCATATACGAATTGGTCACCTGCTGCAATCAAATCTGCTCTGATGACTACTGCGTATAACCTGGACAATTCAGGGGAAAACATTAAAGATCTTGCTAGTGGTAAAGAATCAACACCGTTTATCCATGGTGCCGGCCATGTTGATCCTAATAGAGCTCTAAATCCAGGATTGGTGTATGAAATTGATGGAAGTGATTATGTTTCATTCCTTTGCTCAATTGGGTATGATGCTAAGAGAATTTCAGTTTTCGTTCGAGAGCCAGTTAGCCCTGATACATGTTCAAGCAAATTGGCTAGTCCAGGAGACCTCAACTATCCATCATTCTCGGTCCTATTTGAGTCTAACAGTGATGTTGTGACATACAAGAGAGTGGTGAAGAATGTTGGCAACTCAGTTGATGCTGTTTATGAGGTTGAAGTGAAGTCTCCACCAAATGTTGCAGTCAGTGTGTCTCCTCAAAAGCTTATGTTTAGTGCAGAAAAGCAGGCTGTGTCATATGAGGTTACATTCTCTAGTGTTGCTTTGGGTGGAGTTGGTGTTAACTCACAACAATTTGGGTCCATTGAATGGAGTAATGGAGTTCACCATGTGAGGAGCCCCATTGCTGTTAGATGGAAGAGCCAAGGCTCAAAGGACTCCATGTAATTTGGGGTGCTCTGAATTCTGATTCACTCTTCAAGTACAGGATTGAGCATTGGATGTGCAACTTTATCAGCCCCTTGTGATATTAAAAATAGGCGAGAATGGTTTTGTATTTTTTTTTTCTTTTTCTTCTTCAATGTAGTGGCCAAGAATGGCAACCATGAAGAGGGAAATCTGAAATTTCTAGTGCTGAGCAGTGTAAATTATCTTGAATAAATAAATTTTCATTAAAAAGGTGTTAAAAACATTAATGTTGAGTTTATCCATAGTTCTAGAGTAATCCAAGTTTTAGCATGATTTATGAAAACAAAGAGGATAAACTCACAAGCTATATTATATATCTATTACAGAAAGTCTTCAACAACGACGCTTTGGCCGAGTGGTTAAGGCGTGTGCCTGCTAAGTACATGGGGTTTCCCCGCGAGAGTTCGAATCTCTCAGGCGTCGTTTCTTTTTGGTTTTTTATTTTGAGCATAACCTGCAGATTCTAGACACCATACTTCTGAAACTCCCACTCACTGTTATCTGCAGAAACAAAAATATAACTGAGAATTTGAGTAACACAACAATGCAATAAAGATTATAATTTTACATTCTAATTGCTGTAACACAGACCTAATGGGCAAACTTGGCGAGTCTTGAGCCATCGGCTAATGCAGTGAAAGTGGAAGGCATGGTTGCACAAACCTGCCCAAATGCACAGCAACAATGTTAGATTAGTTTAAATGAACAATCAACCAAACCCCCACCTGCAAACAGATGCCAAAATTCTCATCAAACGTTCAGGTTTTGGTCCTTTCAGTCTCACCCCAAGCAATTGTGCACTCTTCGCTGGTGACAGTTTGCTGATTCGCTTGACACTCAATGCCTGTAACCAAAAACAAAACAATAATCATTGATTGATTTTCTTGGCTGAGAGAGAATTAAAATTCTATTGAAAACAAAAAGGAAAATTAACTTACAGCGATCCATGATATGGTTTCTGCAGATAGCACAGTTGTCCACAACTATGTCCCAAGCCCATAAAGTAATAGGAGTCCACTTCTTGAGTTCTAAACGTTTGTGTTTTCGACTTGAGCCACAGCACCCCACTTGGTTCGAGCTGCCGGCCGGTGGCTCGGTGGCGGCGGCAGAGACCTTGGTAGCGTCAATTGACATGGTGGCAACTGGGAAAGAGATAAAACTTCAAAGAGATTATGAGATGATCATGGGTTAAAAGGGTTATTTATAGGGAGATTTGGGTAATTTGGATATAACAACTTGTTTAGACTTTTCAAGTCCTAGAACATTGACAACATGTTGCCATATTATGGCAACATTTTGTTCTGTTATGACAACATGTATGTTACTATCTGGGTTTATTACATTATCACCCTTTTAGATTTGGTGTGAAAACATTTCCTTAATTTTGGAAAATTAATACTCTCACCCTAAGTAGCCATTCCGTCAATTNCAACATATGGTTTGGGGCTATAACCATTAGCTTCTGGCTTGGAATCGTAACCCTTTACTAGAGGCTTTGACTTCTTAACATATGGTTTGGAGCCATAATTATTGCCTTTTGGCTTAGATCCATAACCATTATCCTGAGGCTTTAACTTCTCCACATATGGTTTAGAGTCATAACCATTGCTTTCTGGCTTGGAATTGTAACCCTGAGACTTTGGTTTGTCACCCTCCGGGTTGGTGCTATAACCATAATCACCTGCAGAAGCAAGGATAAGCAACGAGAAGAGAAGCAAAGAGCTTGTGAAGAAGATACGACTAAGAGCCATCGAAATATTGTATGAAAAAAGAAATGATGTATTGGTTAAATGCTCAAGGAAGTGGCCTTTTATAGATCAGAGGATGGTCCATTTCTCTCATAAATTATCAACTGAATTAAATATACAAGTAAAACAATACACTGCTGCACGATTTGACAAGAAACTCTCATCTCTTTGCCAATCAATTAAACGAACCTGATTGCCTGAAAAAGCAAGAGGTTAATTTAGTCGCCGCCCATGAATACATATGTAGTTGCCATGGTGTCTTGAAACATTGATTTCAAAACGTGTTGAAATTTTGTATAATACGGTAGGATGTCGATAATTTAGGAACCAATTATATTATAGTTGGTCACAAGTCACAGATATATACAATTTCTTATCATATATAATATCATCAGTAATAATAACTTGGCCACTAATTGGTTAATGAAATGAAATGTAAAAAATGATGTATGGTTTCTTATGTGAAAAACTTATTTAGCTTAGAATACCGTTAATTTATTAATGTTTTGTAGTCTTGATTGTCAGTTTGTTACATTCAAATTTTCATGCGCATTCTCACACAGATTCAAATGAACAGACGTTACTAGGCATATTTAGGGAAGATAGAGATATCGATGCATGAATCCCCCTGCTCGGGTGACATTCGTGGGATTAGAGAAATCCCAGTTAAAAACAGAAAATAATGTGAGTTCCTTTAGAGGTAAGACGTGAATTACTAAGTGTGATCTGGTATTAATTATTGATCAAAATTCATAAACGTTGTACAATAGATCTAGAGATTTCAAGTTCGATCCTGGCTCAGGATGAATGCTGGCAGCATGCTTAACACATGCAAGTCAAATGGAAAATGGTGTTTCCAGCGACGGACGGGTGAGTAATGCGTAAGAACCTGCCATTGGGAGGGGAACAACAGCTGGAAATGATTCCTAATACCTCGTGCTGATGAGCAAAAGAAGGAATACGTCCAAGGAGGGACTCGCATTTGATTAGCTAGTTGGTGAGGCAATATATATAACCTATTGTTACTAGTTTTATTGTTTAACATTATATGTGATATATGGTTTATTAAGTTTACATTTTATCACTTGCCAGTAGCATTTAGAGACCTTTAGACCTTTGTGTAGTTTACAAGGATTATTAATTAAAAGAAGAAGAAAATTGTCTTCAAATCAGGTTTCATGAAAAACTTGATTAGAGAATTTTTCGGATGTACCATTAATTAAAAAAGAAAAAAGAAAACCATAAACACAGAAGATATTATTGAAATAAGCGANGCTAACGTATACTTTTTTTGTAATATTATAGTTGTTTTATAAGAACTTGAATATCAATTATTTTGAATATCTCTCACTCGCAATAATATGTTTTGTTTTGCTGCAAATCAATGGTAAACTTAATAAATATTTTCTGTATTCTCATTTTCCCCCTGTCTGATAGTAAAGCAATTTTAGATGTTTTTAATAGAAACCTGAAGTAGCTCTTCATTTTGAAGGGTGCAAAATATTCCAGAAAAAGAAAAGAAAGAAAAGCCGGGCCCTGTCGGATTTTCTCTTCTAAGTTTACTAATCAATCTAGGCTGGCTCGTAGCCATTTGTGGTAGCAAAGACTGTTTTCAAATAAAATTTTTCTTTGTAGCCAAACTAAGAATTGGTACATTAATGCTACTGGCATGATGTTTTATTGGCAAAGACAAGACTTTGTTAAACAAAAGTAATGTTTTAGTAACCTTAGACACTTGTTGTAAAAGCTATTTTTCATTACTACAACATTGTTACATGTTACTAGAATCTTATTAGTATCAATATTATGGTGGGAGCTTACTAAATTTGCGAGGCATGTAATGAAAGATCTCATAAACCTCTATCTTCTTTATGGTTTTATATCCAGAGTTTTAACTTCTTTGTCAATTATAATCATGGACAGGGCTCGAACTGAATGCTTGTCATGATCACAGAACATCTCTCTTCACCAAATGACATCCTTCTTAATTGGGGTTTGATAAATCAATGAATGAAGGTGGAAGCAGTTCTACGGACTACGGAGTAGGAGTTAAGTGAATCGATGAATGAGGAAGTTTTCAACTTGAGCGAGTAAGATTTGAGTGAATTAATGAATGGAGAAGTTGAACCTGAGTGAATCAATGAAGCAGAGGTTGAGCATGCTTGGTACAAAGAGTTACCTTCTTTTATATCTAACCAGTCACTTTCTGAAAAAGTTCTCTATTTATTTACAGCGGGTAGATTATGATTTCCTCGAAAGGGATATCATTTACCTTAAATGGCGATACTATTAAGTCAGTTCTTAACTTTTCCTGTGGTTTTCACCACTTTATTAAGCTATTACCTAAATGTAATTGATATGTATTCCTCTTGTGCTATTGCAGTTGTATATTACACTTGTGGCTTATCATAAATATTATTTTGCTACAACAAATTCTGAAACCTGATATAATTATAATGATAAACAAAAGAAACATAGATCCTTCACAGGAAATCAAAGTTTGTCTTTTGAACCTGAAAATCTGATCACAGGAAACAGAGTCGAGACTGGCCTTGCGGGCATGGCAGGAAAAGTGATACAAGATAAGATAACTGAATGTGAGAATTTTCCTTTGCTTTTAATGAAAAACCTGAAAAATCCAATGCGAGGAAGGTGGGGCAGATACACATAATCATTTTTGGGGAGTTTTACATGGACATCATTAAGGTATGGTGAAAGTAAATATGAGACGACACTGGTAGTGAAATCTGATGGTTGAAAGGGTAGAAATGACTATTTCAAACAATGATCATATTTCAAAATGGATTATTTCTATCACAGCACAAAGTCTCTTTTGGAATGGATACTGAAACCTGAGGGGTGTTAATGATCTGATTAGAGATTTAGATTAAAGAAATTCTCAATCTCATGAGGTGTTGAATACATAACTGCGCAATGACATCATTACCCACTTGGTAATCTTTCTCTAATCACAAATCAAAGAATACAATGAACAATAAGAATTTTGAGACATAAAAAATAATAACAAAAACGAAAAATCAAAACATAGAACATAGAGCATTTGCAAACAATAAATAAATTTAATAACTAGTTGGAGCCAACCTACGACCAAAGTCAGTACTTGTTGGCTTAGAGTCATAACCTTTAGGGGACGTTTGGTTGAAGGTAATTTAAGAGTACTGGAGTTATGTCATCTTATATTACTTTATTACCATATTTGGTTGTCAAATAATATAAGATTTCGATAATCTTGTATTACTAATAGTTGTTACTGTTGGTAATATTGGAGGTAATCTGATTACTTCTATTTTCTTAGGCATTGTAAGATTACTAAGGTAATCTTATTTTTGTTACAATTGTATCCCTTATTAATAAAAATTTTGGACAATAATGCCTCTGTTTTAAAATCAATTTACATTAATATATCATTTCAATTTTACCTTTGTTTAATTAAGTTTTTGGACAATAATGCCCTTATATTTAAAACAAATTACAGACCACCATTACCACCCAGCCACCACCGTCAACAGCGAGCCAACCACCACAGACTGTCGCCGAAAAGTCGTCGGAGTCCCTAAAAATGACCAAGAGTCACTGGGAGGCTCCGGGAGGCTTTGATATGGTCGTTTCTAGCCATATTGATGGCCGAAAACAACCATTTCAAGCCAAATCCTTGGCCATTAGCAGCCAAATCTGGGTGAGATCTACCTGTTAACAGCCAACGGCTAGGTCCATGGCCGTTAACAGGTAGATCTTGCCCAGATCTGGCCGATAATGGCCAGGGATCTAGCCGTTAACGACTAGATCTATCGATCTGGCCTGAAATGGCCAGAATAGATCTGGCAATTTTCGGCCATATCGGAGCCTCGCGGTCACAGTAAGCTACTCACGACGACTTTCGACAACTTCTGACGGTGGTTTACGGTGGTAGCAGGTGGTGGCAGGGGGTGATTTTGTCATAAATTAAAGTTTTATATAAGCAGGGGTGTTTTAGCTAAATCTGAAATATTGGGGGTTAAAAAATTATTCAACAATTAATAATAAAAATAATATTATATTAATATTTTAAACAAGGGCAATTTAGTAATTCAAATAACATACCCACCAATTTATTCCTTTAACCAAACATATTAATATAAAATATCCACCAACTAACTAAACTCATTTTTCTAAAGATTCCCAATAATCTTCAAGGTAATATAAGATTCTAATAATCTAACATAACCAGTAATCTAACATTCCTTGAACCAAACGCACCCTTATTGTGATTCTGTTTTGAGTCTTCACTGTGATATTATGCGGATTTTGATTTTTGAAAATCCATCTTAGGGCCATAGCTATTACCACTTGGCTTTAAATTATAACTATTATCTTTGGAAAATGATATAGTCACCGAAAAGTTTACACCGAATTTGTGCACCGAATGACGTGACAAAATCCTGACCGTTGATTAATATTAACTGATAATAAATCAACGGTCAGGATTTTGCCACGTCATTTGGTGCACAAATTCGGTGTACACTCGTCAGTAACTGTAGCATTACTCATTATCTTTTGGCTTAGATCCATAGCCATAACCTTCTGACTTTGAAGTTTTGTTAGGTTTAGAGCACGAACAGGGGAGAAAAAACGATAAAGAAAAGAAAGTAAAGTGAAGGAGAGNTAATCCTGCGACGGCGGCGTAAGCTGCCGGTGATTCGCCTGGGAGGCAGCGCCAGCGACAAGCCAAAGAGAGGGATGTTTATAGTAAGAATGGTGAGAAGGATGAGGCTGCGGTGGCTGAAGCTGCGTTACGTTCGAATGATAAAGAAGCTCAAACAGTATTATCGAGACATGGTGAAGGATTTCATGGACGCAAGTGCAAGTTTGGAATCGTTTCAACAGAGAGCTCTAGCTGAGGCCAGCTTCGCTTCTCTCGGTTTAGCTTTCACCACTTTCCCTTCTATGGCGGTGGCCGGAGCAGCCGCAGATCATGGTAAAGCCCCCGCAATGTAAACTATATGTATGTAAATAAATAAATTTTATAATTTTTTTTTTTAATTTCTTTTTCCGTTTTATTTTTGCTAAATCTTGATGAGGCGAAATGCGACAAAAGGAAGGAAAATCCATGGATTGATCCCATTGTCTCCACCCCGTAGGAACTACAAGATCACCCCAATGACGCCTTCTGTATCTGGGGGTCTCCACCCCGTAGGAATTACGAGATCACCCCAATGACGCCTTCAGTATCTGGGGGTTGCGGACCGACCGCAAGCTAGGAAAAATTTATAAGATAATAAAAGGACCGACCGTAAGCTAGGAAAAATTTATAAGATAATAAAAGAATATATATATATATATATATAACCATTCAATCAATCCTCATATTACTTCAGATCCCAGATATTACAGGAATAACTGGATCAACAGCGATCACTATGCAATCACAGCGCTCAATCGCAAGAATATCAAAATTGCGATTCATATCAATTGTAATCCCCTTAATTTTGTTATTTTCTTTGTATAAATTTTGTATATAAACTCCTTCAAATGATAAGGAAGGGGTTACGAATTTTACATAAGAACTGTATTGTAAGCTCTCACAACAAATACAAAAACAGTAGACATAAACTTTAGAGTTAACCTCGTCGAACCACTTTAAAACTCTCATTGTCTTTACTTTATTGCATTTTTTTACATACATTGTTGATTATTCTTAATCACGTACACATTAGTTCTAATCCTGATAAGATCGATTGGATCTCGCTAATTGATACAGATTTCTGTATATGTATGTGCATTTTTTGTAGCTTAAAATTGGGTAAAATCAGATTAATTTTGGTTGCATTGTGACAAAATCATGATTTATTTTTAATTAGAAAAGAGATTAAGTTTTAATTGCGTTTGGAAAGTGCTTCTAAAGGAAGCGATTTTTGTATGGTATAACGATATGTCGATATTGTTAGAGAAATATAGGCATCAAATTAATGCTTCTTAGGAAATACTTCATCCCATTTTTTCAAAAGGGTTTACGTCTTGGATGAAATCAACATATTACGTATTGTTATTTCTTCATTTATTTTCAAAATTATTCAACCGGGTGGTGATTAATAAATTAAATATTGTATATAAAATACGATTTTTAGATAGTCGATAAATATTATAATATGTTAATCTTATCGGGTAACAGTTTATTACATATTAGCTCCTAAAATTAAATGTTGTGAATAAACGGTTGATATATTTTGTTGTACAATTGACCCTTTCTATTATAATTCTTGATAGAATTTGAGATGAGTCTGACTTCTCATCCAATAAGACTTTGTAGAATGTGGGGGTTATCCCCTTTTATAAACCAGCAGGCTTGAATGTGTCTAATATATGTGGGACCCCAACACTCCCCCTTACGGTCAAGCCCATATGTTAAGTCATATTTGTTATTGGAGGTGGTTGTCGACTCAAACTTCTCATTCACTAGTCAAACACTCAGCTCAATTGAACATGAGCTCTGATACTATGATAGAATTTGAGGTAGGCTTGACTCCTCACCCAATAAGGCCTTAATGAATAAGAGGATTACTCTCATATAAACCAGTAGGCTTGAGCGTACCTAGACAGTGTGTGACTCCAACAATTCTCAAGTTTAAAAATAGTTAATTATCTTACCAAAATTGTCACCCTTTATTCAAAATGACAATTTCAAATCTTTGCAATGTTACATTTGATTGCAGTACCTCTATCTATTTAGCGGTGCTGACTAATTAACTCGTTATATATGAAAACTTATATGCTACAATACCATGGGTTTGGATATAGAATTCACTTCCAAAATCTACTTCTAGGGAGGAAAGAGCTTAATTACATATTTGTACTATAACAGTCTACAAAATTGACGATGTAGAGCAAACAACTTCTAAGCTCAAACTCAAAATTGATCCCTTTGAAGAAAGGGTAATACTACGCTAACAAACGAATTTCATAAATTTTCACTCACAAACCCAACGTGGCACTGAGTTGACATTACCATATCAACTTATAGCTTTCACTAAACATGAACGACCATTCCTTAGAGATGAATGGTCGTGCACTGCATGGAATGGTCGTTCCTCATCCAAGCAATGGCCGTTCCATCCAAGGAACGGTCATTCCTCATCCAAGCAACGCCCATTCCTCCATTCATAACGGTCATACCCTATAAAGGAACCATCATTTGTGAGATGCGTTTTGTCGACCTATCTATATTTTTGAAGAAAATTTCTTACTCCGTTTCTTCTCAAATGTATTTTTAAAGGGTAAACATACGCTTGTAGAGGAAGCAAAGGAAAAGCCTTACATATGTATACAAATTCCATTAAAATGACAAGCTAATAGCAGTTCAAGGAAGGGCCAGAAATTTCGTTTTCATTTCTTTTTGTTATCTTAATCCGCTGATATATTAACAGTTCTTTTAATTAATTAATAAATAATTAACAAAGCATCTTTGAATGACGAACAAGACAAGCATTAAACTATAAATATAATTTCTTTTTGCTTGCGCATGTCAAATATTTAATTAACTCTCTTAATCTGTTTAATTTAAAATCCTCTATCTCATATTTTTATCTTGATTTTTGAATGTATTGTGTTTTCTTTAGATTTAATAATTTTAATCTTGATTTTTGAATGTATTGTGTTTTCTTTAGATTTAATAGAGTTAATTTCATTTACCTATGTGAGATCTTTTGATTTGAAAATGTATTCACATTTTTCATAAATCATCAAAAAAATTAATCTTATAAATCATCAAAGGTTTTAAATAATTATCAATTCTAATCAAATCGCACCAAGCCGGTTGCGATTCCTACCGAATCCCATTAGGCCGATTGTGATTCAGGTCAAATCCCATTAGGCCGGTTGTGATTTAGGTCGAATCGCACCTGGCCGAGTATGATTCCAGCAGATTCACACTTGGTTGGGTGTGATTCCGGTAGATTTGCAACCAGCTAGGTGCGATTTTTTTTTTTTTTTCAATTTTAGAATTTGAAGATAGGGAGTTTAAATGGCTAATTCCCAAGTTAGTGAAGGTAATGTTATGAGTTTGTAATTAAGGGGTGTAAGTAATATTAAACCTATAATATATATTGTGCAAACTGATGAGAATGCCCTTTTACCGTTAAAACTAACATCTAAATTTTAACGATGGGTGAGAAACTATTTTTTCAAAACTTTATGGGTGGGAAAATGCATGTTTGCCAAACTTTGGGTGGGAAAATGTCATTCTCTCTAATATAAGCATACCCAAGTTTTTTGAAAACCATCAAAAACCCCTATGATTATTAAATACCTTCTTTAAATTATTGAAAATCCCTATTTAAAGGGGATTTTCAATAATTATAAGAGAGTTTCTAATAGTTTCCGAAAATTCTGGGTGTGCTTAGATTAATTGACCTCCTTAATCAATCTGTAAGGAGGTATATAAAATAAACCCTTATGGGGTGTTTGGTTGGGGGTTATCTGAGATTACTAGGGTTAAGTCATCTTATATTACTTGATTACCATGTTTGGTTATCAAGTAATAAAAGATACCGGCAATCTTCAAATACCAACAGTGATTACCTCCATTTTCTTAGGTATTCTAAGATTACCAGGGTTATATTTTTTTTATTACAATTTTATCTCTTATTAATAAAATTTTAGGACAATAATGCCCTTATTTTTGAATTTATTTACATGAATATAATTTTTACTATTTCACCCCAATTAATTAACATTTTGGACAAAATTACCCTTAAATTCAAAACAAATTACAGCCCCCCCAGGCCACCACTCCCACCCACCTGCCGCCAACAACCACCGCCGTGACCAGTGGTCATCGCCGCTGAAACGGCACACGAAATGCCGAAAATGGCCGCCGTGAACCGATATGGCCATTTCCGTCCAGATATCTGGCCAGAAATTGACAGATCTGGCTGTCAACGGCCGGATCGATGGCCGTTAACGGCAATGTCTATGGCCGTTAATGGCCATACGGCGCACAGAGGCCATTTCCTGCCGGCAGTGGCTGGGTTGGTGGGGGTGATTTATTGATTTTTCAAACTTTTATTATGAGGTTGTTTTTGCTAAGTTTTTAAAATGTAGGGGGGTTAATAATCCAAATAATAATCAATATTAAAAAATAATAATATTTAATTAGAGGACAATTCAGTAATTTAAATAATATTCCCACCAATTTATTTCTCCCAACCAAACATATTAATATAACATACCCATCAATTAACCAAACACATTTTCCTAAAGATTTCCAGTAATTTTCAAGATAATTTATCTTTCCAGTAATCCAATATTCTCAGTAATCTAATATTCCTTGAACCAAACGCCCATTTAAGTTGATATGGATACAATTACATATTGTCTTTATTAGCATTTCCTCGTTGGTTTTAATTAATTAATTTATCTTTGATGACTTGATCTTGTCCTTAATTAAATAAACGACTTTTTCCCAACCAAGGTTTGCCTTATGACACTTTCTCACCTAAAAAGTTTTAAAATACCACTTTCCTACCCAAAGTTTATATTCTGACCAATTGTCGACCGATTCCGGCATCTTTGTGACCCCACGCCACCACCATTCGCTTTCCAATCATTACTCACCAAAATCCCTCAAACCTTGCTCCTGTCAACCCCACCAATCGTCGACAATCGAGTAATTTGTGTAACACGAAACTATCACTTCCAAGTCAAATTCTAACCAATCCTGACTAGCAAAAGACTCACCGACATCCCCTCTTCAAAAGTCCCAATAGCCTTGACTGATTTTTCTCTCTGTTGACCGCCGAATCAGAAAGTGTATTCTAGGTAGTAAACGAAATATAAACTTTGGGTGGAAAAGTGGTATTTTAAAATTTTTGGGTGGGAAGTGCAATGGAGGCAAACCTTGGGTGGGAAAAATTGTTTACTCTAATTAAACATATACAGTATGAATCACTTGGACTGACCAGTTTGTTTAACCGTTAACGTAAGTTCGGCCTAAAACAGGATTAAAACAATTTTGGGCCAATAAGAAAGCCCTTTCAGCTAAATCATATTTAAACTTAATCACATTTTACATGAAGAAATAGTAATTAATTTGGATAAAGTACTTAATTAATCACGTTTTACACTAATGCTTTAAATTAGTGGGTGGATAGATGGATATGCTTTTGTGATATAGACAAAGCTTTGGAATTAAAAGGTTTTAAAATTTGTATTTTTTGGGGAAAGACAACATCTTTCACTCAACCAATTAATTAATTATGATTATCAAAAGTTAATCCACAACTAATTAATTAACATCCCTTTATCTAGATTTAGATTTTGTAAAAAGTATTATTCATAATTTACGGCAGAAATTTTGCTCCTTCGAAAAGAAAAACCCCTTCGAAACAAAATTAGGAGAATTCAAACACGAGACCTTCAACTATTCGTGTCACGTCAAATATACGATGGGTAATATCTATATGCAACTCATTTATGATTATCAATTTAATTTGGTCACTTCTACCTGAAAAATGACTCATAAATTGACATGTTATAGTATGATTAGTGAAATTCTTGCACTTTTGACCATGTGAACCATGTCATTTAGGATCATTAATTCCTCTG